TGAGTGCCAGGAGCAGTAGAATGAGGCCTTGTAATTGACTTATTCTATAAGGTACCGGGGACTACTTAAGAAATACAACCAACAATATAAAAAACTTGACATAACACTCTGAATATTTAAAATGCTTTACAAATAGCATCAACCTGCATAAATAAACCCTAAGCAAAGATACAACTGAGTCAGAAGATGCGTCAGCCCTGTTTTATAGATGTGGAAACAGAGGCAGTGACATTAAAGACCAGATTTAAAAAAAAAAAAAAAAAAAGAAGCAACTTCTAGTTTTTGTTGGCTATCTTTGGACACCTGAAGCCTGATTGTCCAAAGTGCTGAGGGTCTTCAGCATATCTGAAAATCCACCTTTGGGTTCTATATTTTCACTGCCAAAGCTGTGATTTATGTGAGGTTTCACAGTATGTGAGTGGCAGAACCAGGCGTAGTGCACCTCAGACTTTGAAGTCCTTAAGCTATGCTCCAAGTACTATATGGTTCTAATTTACAGTGAAATGTTTAAAGGACGGGTGTATCTCTGTAATTAAAATCAGACGCATCTTGGTTTCCCAATTAATCCCATTAGGGTCTGATTCAAGACCATTTAAACACTAGCTCAGTGGTTAAAAGTTCATTTGCCACATTGCCCTCAGTGTACTGTGACATTTAATGTCAGTGACATCCACAGGGGGACACTGACTCCATAGCTGCCAAGCAGCAGTTCTGCTCCCACATTAGGAATATTCTACTAATTTTATGACAAGTGGTCATCATATCTGCGGAATGGAACCTAGTACATGAGAGAAGCACACTTAATGAATTCTTCCATCCAGCAGTCACATAGCAGTTACACATTTTCTTTGTCACTTTTTTTACTGTTTTCATCACCCTAAAAGGGAAATTTAATTAACATGTTAGGTGTGGCCTGCATCTTATTTGTATTAAGGCTACTGTACACTGCTCTAGCACTATACAGGAGTCTTCAAATGGGTATAAATATAATTAGCTCCCACTTTAAGGTCCCTTCAGGCTGACAAACTGGTGCAGAGTGGATTTCGTATAACTGCACACTGGAGCCCCTAAGCATACTTTATTCACACAGAAATTGCAGTGGTATACATGGCACACTATAACTGTAGGCCTGCACCCAAAATATATTTTTGGGTTGCATATTCTGGCTTAAATTTATCAAAGAGAGAACAAGCTGCTAAGTGGTGCACTGAACTTCAGAGTTGTACTGAAGAAGAATTCAGGCCAGTATGCATTTTCCTTCTCACTTAGCTCATTGGGCAAGGGCCTGTTTTCCTACTGAAATTTGAAAATAAATAAGCAAGTATTTCCTGGGATAATTACCAAATGTCTACAGTTATCCAGAACCAAGGCTCTATAACTGCCAAGCAGTATTGCTGTCTATCAGAAAACTTCAGACAAATCAAGGTGAACAAGGCCTGATAGTACCTCTAATGAATCCCTAATCAAATGAGGTTCTATACATTGCCTCTGACATATGCTCCAGCACTTCATCTAGTATAGCTCAAGATGACTAAGTAGTGGGGCATGCCCTTGTGTGACAAAACCCTAGGGCAGGGGTATTCAGCCTCTGTCCTGTAGACCATGCATTCGGATTCAGGCCACTCTACCCCTCCCCCTCCCCCCCCCAATGTCTAGATCAGGGCTGCTCCACCCAACCCACCCAACTCTCCATGCGTCTAGATCAGGATTGGGCTGCATACCCCCCACAGCCAGATGGAGCCCCCCATGCTGGCCCCGCATGCAGAATTGTGCCTACTTGGCACTGCCCATCTGGCCCATGGGACACAAAGTCTGAGCACGCTGCTCTAAGGTGTTGGGGTACTCTGAAAGATACACCCTAGGCTTGTGTAAGCTTATTAGTCCCCCAGTCTGCTGAATGGATATGCACAGGTTATTAATTTACCCAGAAATCACAATTTACTACAGGCATTTCACTAAAGTAACAGAAAAACAAAAGAGCTTATTACAAGGAAGAACAAAGGGTATGAAAAAGGAAAAGTGATCAAATTCTTTGACAACAGACTATGATAAAACAAAATTGGTCCTATGTTCAGACTACCAGCTAGACATCATAAAGATTCCTGCAAAATATCTCCCAGGGTCAACCTCCCCTCAGTCACAACTAGCTCCCTCAACCAGGGACCTCCGTTCCCCCTCTCCTTGCAGCATTTCACAGGCCTATCCCTGTGGTTCTGTGATACTTTGCTTTATAAATGCAGAGCGACACTTCATTACATGGTATTTGTTATCTATTTTTCAATTGTGGAGACTAGGAAATGTCATGTATTCATCAGCATATTGTCTAAGTCACTGTTATCCCTGAGTAATTGGGCTCTTCACCTTTTCCTCCACATATGGAGTTGCAGGCAGAGTTCTGGTACACTTGGTCCTTATCAGTGTTGGTAAAGCAAAGTCCAGATTATGACAGACATCCGAATAAGCAACTGGGATGTATTAATAGCCTAGTGACAAATATCTGTACTGGGAATTGGATTTTATAGGTTCTTTAGATTAGAATTTTAATAACCAACTCAGGGGGCACATCTGCATGAGACATCACATCGCCATAGTGACGAGGTACAGTGACGTTGGTACAGTAGCGTTGGCATCATGGTTCATTGGCAGCCATGAACCATGATGCCAACGCTACTGTGCTGTAGCAATGAACTATAGCACAGTGGCTTGTTCCTACTGCACAGTAGGGTCAAAAACAACCTGTGTGCCTCTGGGACTGGGCAGTAACAGTGATTACTGTGCAATCATTTAGTACTCACTGAAGTACTAAATGACTAAAGTACTAAAGTAACTGCACAGTTGGGGACATGTGTAGACATGCTCAGTAAGAATTAGTGGCTTCAGAACAGCTTTTCCTGTCAAGGTAAGTGCTTTATAGGTGCCATCAATATACAAGCAAAAGGTGGAATAAATCAGGTGTACTTGAACACATTTAGAAGATAAGTTGATACAAGAGTCAGTGATTGAAGAAGACGATTTTTTTTTGAAGTTTCACCATTCAGCATTACTTTATCAAGATGTGTTTGTGCAGGAGTTTGTACTAAAGCCAATCTGCATCCCTGCTACATGTTGAGTCGTACTTTCCTTTAATACAGATAGTTCTTTTGAAGGGGATGAAACAGTTTGGTTGAGATAGAGATTGAATTACATAATGTATGTGTGTGTGTGTGCATATGTGGATGGGTGTGGGTAGGTGGGCATTTGAATGAGATGGAGTTGGAGTCCAAATCTCAGTCTTGTTTTCTGCATGTTTCATGTATGGAGACTTTATTTCCATCAGAGACTGGGTTGTACCAGGATTGTGCAGTGCTTCTTAGGAGGACTAGGAAGGTACCTTGAGATTTATCAAGTAGGTAGGCTGGGTAGTGGGTAGGGATTTATCAAGTAGGGACTGGCTGGGTAGTGGGTAGGAATACTGTGGGAAACAAACCATGCTTTCTAATCAGCACAATATATCCTAGGACCTACCTTGTATCTACATCCCAACACTAGGACAGAAAGAAGTGTTGGGGCACAGTGAGATAGCATCTGTACAAAGTGTAGGAGGCCTCTGTGAAGGAAGAAGTGGAATGTCCCCCTTCTCATGCCAAAAACAACTCCTCAGTATGGGAGCAGTGTGGTTGAGAAGCTGACTGTTCATGTATCACATGCTCTGTGTGGGAGCAGGAAATATCAGAATCAGGGAGCACCAAGTACAGTAATTAATCTAGGCCCACCTCTACCATTTCCTTAAAAGCAAGTTGTTTTGTGAATTACTTTTCTCCTGAGCCTGTTCCATCAATTATAAATATTTTAACACCCCAGAGATGTTCTAGAACTTATCATGGACTGACTCAGGAGAGGTGACTTTGATTCCTATAGAACAGGGCTAGGCAACGTTTTTTGGCTGGAGTGCCAAAAAACCCACAATGTCTACCTTGGAAGGTGCCGGAGTGCCGACATGCCAGAGCCCAGAGCAGCTGTTTGCAGCCTCCTAGCTGCAGCAGGCCCACGGAGCCCCGTCTGCTTGCAGCAGGGCTTGCAGCCTCCCAGTCACCTGTTGGGAGCAGCCTGGGCTCTGTGGCTGGCAGCAGTGCCTTAGAGCCCAGGCTGGTGGTGGTGTGCTGAGGAAAATGGCCTTGCGTGCCATACTCGGCATGTGTGCCGGGGGTTGCTGACCCCTGCTATAGAACAATGGTTCTTGACAGTTTTTGACCCTGACCACCACTGTGGGAGGTGCCAGCAGGTGACTTCTGGAACTAGAAATGAAAGAGCCAGAATATAGCTCTCCTGCTTTTGGTTCAGGAGGTTCAACAATTCAGTTCAATGATTTAGACATCAGTCCATATAAAGTTGGCTTGGGCAACTCTGCAAAGTACTGCCTATATTGGTGCTAGGCAGTGGAGTGCAGAGTTATCTTGACCAACACTGCACCTCTCAGTCAATATCATTAGCCTAGCCACTGTACTATACAAAAGTAACTGCTGTCTGGGAATATCATGCACAGATCATTACAACTTCTCACCAAAACACTGCCTATCAACATAGGAATATTTGGGGGCAGGGACTTGGTCAACCCAGCCATCCACTTGTCCTATATCTACTATGTGACCCATTCACAGCACCTCCATGGACCAGGTGAGAACTATTGCTGTAGAACAGACATTGAGAAGGAAAAATATTATGGACATGTGCTGTGGCATTCCATTTAGTAAATGAGTCTACTAAATGTGTAAGCAGCTGTTGCAGTTACTCTGTCTTGCTGTCCTCGAAAGCTGGGTCACTTCAGTCTTCAGTGTTTGTCTCTCATGCCCTGAGTCAAGTGTTTTGCAACGTGTTTTGTATCACTCAGTAGTTACCCATTCTGACATTGAACCAATGGCACTGACAAGATCTGTAGGGGTTCCTCCCTGTGACTTGGGCAGAGAGGGTTGCTTTGTCATCTGAAGAGCTGACAGCCCAAGTTCTGTGTTTTATTTTGACAGATGGGATGCAAAGGAAGGTGAGGACATGCCATTTCAAAAGGATGACCCTGGCAGCCAGGTGGGTTTACAGAACGTCTGTTTGACTCGCGCAGTCAAGCCTGATTACATACATGCTGTCTCAGGTAGGCTGGAGTCTCAAGACAAGGGAGCTGGAATGTTCATCTGCCTCAGTCACTGGCCTAGTTTATTAAACTAGGGAAGTCCTTTAACTTTTCTGTGTTTCCATTTCCCTTCTGAAAGTTAAGATACTATTTGCAATAATGCTTGAAAATTAAGATAATACTTGCTCAACCTAAGGAAGCCTTTGGGAATCTTTACAAGGTAAGTACTATATTGTTATTTTTAAAAAACAAACTCAATGGGCCTTTCACATTTCTCATTCCAGGGCCCCACAAGCACTGAAAACCTGAAATGTGAAGCTCCAGCTGGTGAGGAGGAGATGGAACTCAATTGCCTAGCAGACCCAGAAGAGGATGGGCAGCCATCAAGCTCCCAAGACCCTGGTGTCTTTTCATCACAGGGCCAGAAAGGTGAGAAGATTTTGTCTGCACAGGACAATCAGAGGGAGAAACAGAAAGCAGCCAAGTGTCTAGAAGGGGAGGTGTCTGTGTCAGGTATGGGTGACTCTGAGCCAGAGTCCAAGCTAAGCAAGCAAGGAATTGTAGAAGATAATGTTAAGAAGCCAAACACCACTGACACCTCTCAGCAAAACAAGTGCACAAGCAGCAGTACTTCAGAAAGCAGTACTACAAGCACTGGGCAAGCTGTTGGGCATAGCAGTAAGGAGAACATGTCATCACCCAAGGGAGACAGCATGGAAAAAAATGTACCATCAGAGAAAGAATTGATCAAAGACTCTGCAGAATGTTTCAGCGGGAAGCCCAAAGAGGCAGCAGGTGGCAGATGCAATGGGAATAAAGGACTGTTGCTGAGAAGAAGAATGGAGGAGATGACTCAAAACACTCACAATGAAGGACAAAAAATCACAAAGAAAGGAGGTGAGACTGCTGCATGTGCTGAACTTAAAGGAGAGTCTGTCTCCCCAAAAAAAGATGCCTCAGACAAAACTGGTGTATCTGAACAGAATGGAGCAAAAATACAGAGCAGAAAAGGCGACCAGCCAGAGAAGTGCAATTATAAGAACAACAGAGAAACTGAGAATTAAAAAGAATGCACTGGACTGCATGAGATTGAAGGTGAGTGCACAGCCCCTAATCTACTTTCCAAGATATTTTAGTGATCCTACATCTGCTTAATTGAATATCATGTTGTGGACCTATGCCATCATGGCATAGGTCCACAACACAAGTTTTGGGGTAAGCAGCATAATTATTTATTAAAGGTGCTCATGCCCAAGTTTCTCCAGGGTTCCAAATTACATAAATTGGCTGTGAAAATCTAAGTCTGCTCAGCGCAGTTGCCTGTCCTCTGGAATGAATGGATAAACCAGAAACCAAAGAAGTTTTTCTTATTGGTGACATGTAGCACTCACCAATTCAGGGGCTCAGACTTTGAAAATGGTCACTTGATTTTGACTCTGTAGTGAAAGTAGCTAAAATAATTAGTGTCCTATTGGCTCCATTTAAAAAATGCCTTTATGTGTATTATACATCCCTCATGAGAGCAACAATTTGGACATCAGGCCAGAGAATCATGAAGAAGGCATGTGGTTCTCTCCCCAGTGTATGAAATGCAAACAAACACATTATGTAATTATTTGTTTAGCAGCATTAATGGATATAACACTACGGCTATAAAGGAAAACAAGAACATAGATAAAGGATAAATGTCATGATTAAATGGCAAAGCTCTAGCCGTTATTGAAGCCAGATGCATGTCTCCCAAAAAATGGAAATCTAGCACCAGTGAAGATAATAGAAAGGAGTATATATTATGGCAGGCAAAAATGTAGTGAGAGAGACATTAAGGAGAAGGGCTCAGAGAGAACACGAAGCGTGAATAGCTGAAGGCATAAAAGCAAATAATAAGAAACTCTGTATAGAAGAAACAGAATGACTATGAGAGATTCACTTCATCTCCATGTCTACCAGGAAGCTAAGAAAACAGTCTAGTGGATAAGGACAATACAGGAAAACTGAATTATTTCTTTGTTCATTGTGGAAATTCCTGGACAGATACTTACCCTAGACATGGTACTGTTACTGTTGTACAAATAGATTGGAGGATAGCAAGTGTTTTTAAAAGCAGTAAGAGTGATCCTAGGAGTTATGCATTAATTGAAACTGAAACATATGGCCTGCACAAATGAACAATTAGACCACTTTAAAGAGGGAAGGGCTTACCACTTGTGTGTGTCAGCCAGTCCATTGTAACTGTTTGTCTTTTCTCTTCTGTCCTACAGTAAGTGAAGCTAGCTTGTGGTAACTTAACCCCGTCCAGTGGATTCATCTGACCTATAGTAAATCTCCCTCCCCTGTTAAATGACAAACATCTGTCAACACCCTGAGTGAAATAAAACAGATTTTTGAAATAACATTTAAAATAAACTTATAAAATGCCTAAGTATATGTGACATGAGGGAGACAAATTGTTAAGGAACATTGTACCTTTCTGAGCTACAAAAAGTCTCTAAGTATGACAACAAAATATTGGAGAAAGGAGTACTAACATACTTTGTTCAGACTTTCAAAATGTCTTTTAAAAAGTTCTTTACAAGACACTGTTACAAATACTAAATTACCCTTGGGTGAGAGAAAGGATAGTCATATATTAGACATTTGTTAAAGGAAAACAGTGACTAAGAATAGGCAGTTATTTTCTGGGCAAAAGGTAGTAATAGTATGTCCAAAGCTTCCATACTGGAACCCTCTTTCTGATAAGCATTTAAACACATACTTAACCCCATCCTATTCTACAAGGTATTGAAATACATGCTTAATTTAAAGCATGTGTTTAAGTCTGGGAGGGCACGTCTACACAAGACATTAACTGTGCAGTAACATAGTAAGCATTTGCATCTGCACGTGTGCATGCTTACTATGAAGTAAACTTCACTAATCGCAAGTAAATTTGCTACCTGCAAATGCAAGTAGCAAATTTACTTTTGATTAGTAACAGCACAGTAGTGCTCATGTAGATAGATGCCTGGCTGGGAGCAAATCTACTCCTGGTCAGCTGCCCACCAGGGGGTGGGAGATTACTCCCTGTCCCCGGGAGCTGCCTGATGCAGGCTTCATCACCAGAGTGTAGGCAGTGACTATATCCCCCTGCCCTGGCAGCAAGGAGCTCCAAGCCCCCTGTTCTGCCATAGTGATCAAGGAACAGGGGGCTGGGAGACCCTTATCTCCCAGCTTCAGCTCCACAACCAACCTGTTCCCTACCCAGCTCCACATATGGGAAGCTGAGTGGGGAACAAGCTTCCAAGCTTTTTCCCCAGCCAGCTCCATGCTTGTGAAGCTGAGTGAGGAACAAGCTCCTCAGCCTGTCCTCCACCCAGCTCTGCACTCATGGAGCTGAGCAGGAAACAGGATCCCCAAGGTGATCAAGGCATGGGCTTGGAAAGAGCTACAGGGATGGGGTAGCTCCCAGCCCCCTGCCCCGATCTGCCAGTAGGGCAGCTAGCAACAAGCTAGCTGCTAGCTGTCCCACTAGCAGATCAGTACAGGGGGATGGGACCTGCCCCTCCCCTGCAGCTCTTTCCAAGTCCCCTGGAGCTGACCGGGGATCCAGGGCCAGGAGCTCCCTGCTGTGGGGGCAGGGGAACATTGTCCCCACCGCAGCAGCAGGCAGCCCTCAGGGACAGGGTGTAATGTCCCAGCCTCGGCCAGGAGACAGCTGTAGATGCCTGCCCAGGAACGTTTACTCATGAGTAGTTTACTTGCAAGTAAACTGTTCCTGGATCGAATGCATGTGTAGACGTGCCCAGTGATTTAAGGGGACTTAAGCTAGTGTTTAAAGTTAAGCACATACTTGCTTTGCTAACCCGAAGTGATGTAGGCTATTCATGATCAAGAAAAGATTGTAAGGAACTTCAGAATGGTGTAACAGAGGTAGGGAACAGGGCAGATGACATGCCATGTTGATATATGCAATATAATGCACATTCACAGTAACACTTTGAACTACTCATTGTTATATTCTAAATAAACTCAGTAAAACTACTCAGGAAAATGATCCAGGGGTCACTGAGAGGATCTCAACAAAAATCTCTTCTCAGTATGGTCAGAATAGCAAGCAAAATATTTGGACAATAAAGGTCAATACAAAATAATCCAAAAAAATCATAGTTATGATACAAATCTGGGACCTGCTAAAGTCACTTCCTCTGCTAATTAGAGACAGCTGACAAGTATAGAAACATAACTTGTCATTGAACAAAATTTATAAATCCCATTAATGGGACAATTGGAATAATAGGCTTGGATACGCAAAAGAGAGATATTGGGTGTCAGATTTTTGTGTTTTTGATTCCCATCCTGGCTTGCCATCACTGCCACTGTAACTTTGATATCAGTGAGACAAGGACATGGCCTTACATAACTGCTTAAATTAGGCCAGTCAATTTGTTTAATGAATTATTGGAGTGTCTCATCATGCAGTTTTCCCCTATCCTTGGGTGCCTCCACTGAGGACTGTTCATTTCACTTGAAGCAATTGGCTAATGTGTGAGTCGGACATTGCATATTTTTTCATAGGATCAAAAAAAACTCAAACTGAGAAATCAATAAAGTATTAGTAGGTTTTTTATTTGTCCTGTAGAGCTAAGTACAAACAACTGGGGGCATTAGGGGAGCTTAAATTGATTCAAAATGGCTGCCCTATGGCAGGTAAGTAAGGATGTGGGGACTAGCCGGGGAGGGAGGGGTTGGTGCTCCAGCAGGTTGGAGGGGATCAGGGATCCCCCAGGGAATCAGGGAATGGGGGGGAAGGTGTGACCTGTAGGTTGGGGGGCAGGCATGACCTGTGTGGGTGGGGTGGGGTCCCCCCAGGAAACCTACACCCCCATCCCTCCTGCTCCTCTCTGCACCAGGACTTACTTTCTTGGCTCCGGCAGCAGCAAACCCTGATAAAAGTGACTGCACCCAGAGCAGCTTTTGGGATGGGGATTAAAAGCGCTGGCTGGTCAGGTGCCCAGGGGGTGGGGGTGCAAAACTAGACCAGTACAAGGGATGTGAAAAGAGCAGCTCCAGGGCTAGGGCCAGTGTCTGGGTTTTCCCGTCCTGGGGTTGCACAGGGGGAGTGGACAGAAGTTCCATGCACCTGTTTGACCTGAATCAAATGAGTCTGATACTACATAGATTGATGTTTATCTTAAACCAGGTTCTGCAGTTTTTAGACTGGTTTGTGTGCATGGAACTTCTGTACAGTTACAGGTTTAGACTGATTGCCAGTCACTGAAACTGGGTCTGTAAGTGTAAGGTCGGCACTAGGATGAGCTAAGTTTAAATTGGACGGCCATTTTGAACCCGATTTAACCTAATCATTTAAACACTCATTAACTCTTTAACACAACATTTTAACCAGTAATTATCAATCTATGCTTAGATGTCTCACTGCCTTTTACTCACTGCAAGGTCATGCAGATAAGCAGAGAAACAAGTATGGTTTGTGAGTTTAATGATAAGTGAAAATACAGAGTTTGATCATGCCATTTGCATACAGGTGAAGAAGCTGTACAATTTAGCTGTGCTGTTTCTATAGAGCAGATTGAATGTTTGACTGTAGAATTGAAAGACCAAGTGCAGGTATGTGTCTAAGCAGTGTATCTGTGCAGTGTTCAAAAGAGCAGAGGTAAAGATGCAGGGTTGTACCTTAACTCATGTTTTAGTTTTTGGAAGTTTGAGTTTGGCTGAACTTACCTCATTCCCTTACAGAACAGTATCACTGGGCAACTTTAACTTTGTGTAACAAATTTTTTTTGTCATTCAATTTCCCTGCATTAGTGGGTGTGTCTAAACATGCATTTACGCTGGCTTAAATTTACTGCACAGTAAATTAATGCACAGTAAGCAGGAGTAGGCTGGCATCTACGTGTGCAGGCATTAAAACGCATTAACACTGCATGTGGACTGACTTGGGACTAAATTTAGTCCCAAATTAGTCCACACGCACAGTGTTACTGCGCAGTAAGGATTATACATATGCATTACTGCTCAGTAATTAATCATATACATATGCATATATACTAATATGCTAATTATATTAGTATATAATATATACCACTATTATACTACTA